TAAACTGAAGAAAACCACTCATTTTTGTGATTTGGGCATGTTTTGATGGACAGGGAATCACCATTTTGCATTATTTTCCGGTTTAAGTGAAAGGGGAAAACCTTTGTGGTGCCATTCAATGGATTTGAATCGAGACCCCCTTTTCATCAGGTCAGGGTTCAAATTGAGAGGGAAACACGGTTGTCTCTGGTTTTGAAGGGCTTCCCTTGAGAGTAACCTCTATTTCCCGTTTAATATTTTAATATTTTCCCGTTTTATTTCCCTGTCAAGGGTGGGAGGAATGACGGGTATGTCTTTACAAACAAGCTGTGGGTCTGAAACTATCACTGAGAGATAAAAGAAACAATGGGATGGATTCCACTGATTGATGAAAATCCCATCACTGACTGATGGGAAAAGATATTTGCCTTTACAAACAAACTGTGGGACTGGATATTGAAAGATGAAAGAGGCACTGAGGAAACACCATAAATTCCATAAGAATTAAAAATTAAGAGGGAGGGTTATACATTTGAGGGGAATCTTTGGTATCAGGCATTTGGGGAAGTCTCGACCTCTCAGGTACCTCAGCCTATGGGGAAAGAGAGAGGGACGTGGCTGGGAAATTCGGATAAAAGGGAGGCTGCACCCTCAAAAATCGAGAGACCCCAGGGGAATGGCCCATGGCCTCTCCCTTTATTCGAATAAAGTAAAAGGACTCCTCCGTCCCCTTTTTGGACATAAACCTCTGGTGTTTGTGGGTTAATTTTCGTGACAAGGGGGACCCTTCATTTGAAGGGGCTTTCACAGGAGGAAAATCGCGGGGAGCGGTGGCGCGGCTTGCGGAGAATGAGGGGCGGGGTTGTCAAAAAGAGAGGGCTATGGAAATGAAATGGAATGAAATGAAATGGACCGAAATGAAATAAAATGAAATGAAATGAAATGAAATGAAATGAAATGGAACGAAATGAAATGAAACGAAATGAAATGGAATGAAATGGAATGAAATGAAATGAAATGAAATGGAACGAAATGAAATGGAACGAAATGGAATGAAATGAAATGCAACGAAATTAAATGGAACGGAATGAAATGAAATGAAATGAAATGAAATGAAATGAAATGAAATGAAATGAAATGAAATGAAATGAAATGAAATGAAATGAAATGAAAGCGGCCAGGAAGAGGCTGCCGGGAGGGATGTTGATGGAGATTTGCGGGGTTCAGGGGGTGCGGCGCGGGGGTGCCCCTAAGGGCGAGAAGATGTAGCCAGGGTTGGGCTCAGAGCGTGCGAGGGTCTCTGTCAGCGCTAAGCTCAGGTGTGGTGTCTGCTCTTATCAGTTTAATATCTGATGCGTCCTCTCGATGAGAGGACTTCACGTTAAACGGATTTTTGGCCTCGGGAGTTGGACCCGGAGCTTGGTCCCTCCGCTCCGCGCATCGTCCCGGGAACAACAGATGTACTACAGCGACACGGAGATCTGTCGTGACTCTATCGCGACATCAGCCACGCTCCGCACCTCGCTCCCTCCACTCCCTCCCGGCATCGCGGTGCCTCCGGGAGCGATGTCGGGGAACTCTGAGTGGTGAAAAAATAGAGCGAGCAAGGAGATGCTGATAATGACAGCAGCGAACACGGCTCTGTGATAAAATGTCACTGCAGACTGCAGAGAAGGCGGCGCCGCCGGCTGGGGATCCCGCCAGCCCTTCCTGCTCAGCTCGCACCCGGAGCATCACCTG